GGATTGTAGCGCCACCAATTGTCTTGGTCTCCATCCAAATCTTCAAAATTTGGCTTGCTGCGATAGGCCGTGTCCGAGTGTAAAAATTCCTAGAAAACAGTTCGTACGTATTTAATAGAGAGTCTTTCGCTTACCTCATAAGCAGCATTGTTGAATTTCCCTTCTCCTAATCGACAAATGAGGGCGGCGGCTTTGCCCATGTTCAAAATCCCTTTCGATACACACTCGTAAAGAGTGTTGGGTTCTTTCGATGGCGCTGGAATCTCGGGGTCTTCACGTAATTCTCTCCTATCCCTTGTTTTGCCTGAAGCGATTGATTATAATAACAACGAAAGAAGTGAATGGAAGTGCTTACCATAGCTGAAGGACTCTTCAAGGTCAAGGAGTTCGTCTTCAGGTGCTTCCACAGGAGCGCGCCTTTTTCTGAAGTAAGCTCAACCTCAGACCACATCAGTAAATTGATGGCATAGAGTCAACTTGCGAATATACAACTCACACGACACAGGAATTTCTTGGTTTCATCGGCTGTAGCGTAGTGTAAAACTGAGAGGTCCTCGACGGAGTGTCAGTCTTGAACATTTCGATGGATTTCTCGCGCAGATAACGGTTCCAATCTAAAATATCAGATATGGATAGGAAGAAGAACGTATTAGATAAGGAAGAGCGTATTAGATAAGGAAAATGAAGATGACAATTGAGTAGTTGCAGTGAAACAATACTAAAAGAGATCAATCTTAAAACTAGCAAAGAATGTAAAATAGTCGAGCACTGGTGAGGACTAGTAGCTGGCCAGGGTTTTTATACCATATGTCAAACAAGTGACTGCCACGGGGAACAATGACCCCGTTCCACATGAAGTGTGAAGTGCAAAAGGCCCTTGCACAAGGCCGTGCCTGAATGTAGCAATCTGAACCCTTCGCACATCATAAAACGCGAGGGGTCATTGATTACCGTGGCAAAATCCAAGTAAAAGAACGAAAAGTATAAGTAGAAGGAAAAAAACAAAAAAAGAAACTCACTTCGTTGATACTGCCTGTATTGTCCTGGTCTAGGTACCATCAAAAACAAATAGAGGCCATGCTGAAACAAAGTTGGTATGAA